AGAGAGAGAGAGAGAGAGAGAGAGAGAGAGAGAGAGAGAGAGAGAGAGAGAGAGAGATAGAGAGATAGAGAGATAGATAGATAACTGCTGTCGTTGCTAAATGTTGCGTCTCTCGTCACAGTAGTAATCTTTGTCGACATGCTCTTTTACTCAATAAACGTGGCTGGAGACATTTTTCAGTCTGACCTGGCAGAATAGTCTTGACCTTGTTTGAGGACAATGAAAACGCTAATTAGCTGTTAAGCATGTTGTCAAACACTATTTGGTGATTATTATCACATGCAACAGTTAAGACATTAACACTTGCTCGAATAGCCTCAGCTCAGTGCTCTGAGAATGTGCCAGGATGTTACCAGAGGCCAGAGTTGTGAAGTAACAATTACAAATGAAAATGTTACATCTACGATGCGATTAATGCATTCATCTGTTATGCGTTAATCCGACCAACAAGTGCTTTCTGATTCTTCCTACACTGTGGAACGTTCCCTTTAACTTTATTTTTTCTAACTTTATTACGTTCAAAAGTGCAACATTACAAACCTAAATTGGCTCTTCATCAGGGACAGAGGGATAAAGCCAATACTATAATGTAATTAAAGTTTAAAACAAGTTTTTAACAGAGCTTTATACATACAAGAAAGATATGAGTGTGTTTTGCACACTGACTAACAAGTGTAAACAAAGAAATATGTATATATTTAAATTGTTGGTTGTATGCTGGTGAGCCACCAGGGAAAGAAATATTACATAACTGTTTATGAAGAACTATATAAATAAAGATAGTCTCTAAACTTTTATGACATCTTATTTGACTGTAACTCTCGCTCATCTTTCGTGCTCCCTGCTCTGGATATCATGTAACATTAGGACATGTTTAGTGGAGATTTTCTCTATTCCGCTGCAGGCAAATTGAATCATATTTCATTTGTCAATCTGAGTAAAATCCTGTTCATATTAACTGCAAAGCCTAAGGACAGTACTGTGAGTGATAGTTTACGCAGGGTGCTGATCAGACGGCAATCTTGTGGCCACTTAACGTTTCCACAGAGATGGTTTCACATTAAAGAGGAACGGCAGTTCTCATTCCCTGCATCATTTTCTAGATTTTTCCAGCAGTTGTCCTGTACACTAATAACATCCCAGATGTTGTTGATGACCATGTACAAATATTAGGATATTACGCCGTGCTGACTATGTTCTGAGCCTGTAAAGTATAAAAATGAAGCAACAGAGCTCAACCTGATTAGCCTCATTTTGAACAAATTTTCCTTGTGTGAGCACTGACATATACATTAACAGCCCAAGCCATGTTCTTCAACCCACAGGGTAAAACCATCAACATCTGTCTAAACCGACATCTGCTCAATTTATTCTGCTTCTTCAATCTGAACTCCTCAGCACAAGCGCAGAACAAAATGTCCGTCTCTTATGCGGCAACACCTCGTCCTATTTATTTTAAATTTCATGATTTCATTTTAGATGTAATTCATTTCACGTGCATGTGTGTGTGTGTGTGTGTGTGTGTGTGTGTGTGTGTGTGTGTGGGTGTGTGCGTGTGTGTGCATGTGATGTGTGTCTGAACACAATGTTCCTTCTATTCACAGTTCCCCGCTGGCAAAGCCTGATGGTGTTCACCAATCTGAGACCCCCTCACGTACAACCTAACTTTAATTTCTGAATGAAAATAAGCTGATTTTAATTATTCAAATTGACCATTTACATTTACATTAACGCAACATTCAAATTGAAATAAAGCAAGTGGGGTTACAGTGTGATAATAACCATTATTATTAAATTCCCATAATTAAAACATATTCATTCCACGACGTTCATCATTTTTGCTTTACCTCTATGAAAGAATTAAGTATTAAACACTGAACGGGGAAACCAACTGCTAATAGTTATGACACAGATCAAATGACATGTAGGCTGCATGTATCTAAACTCAGATGCCCTGCGGAGGAATGCAGGAACAGAACACAATGAGCCAAAGACCACATCCACAGACGCACAAGGTTTATCTGTACATTCTGTCTCACATCCGTACTCTGCTGCTGATTCATATGTGAACATGTGAGCACACAGTGTGCATGACAGACCCATAGACTGACATCCTGGGCAGAGCATTGTCTGGCATGGGAGATTATTTTTAAACCTGACAAAAGACATGGAGTTATAAGAATGTATGAAAGAAAAGCTGCTTCATATGGAGATCACTTTTTGAAGCGCTGCTACAGTGGCGTATTTACTGTTAAAGTGACTTGAATTTCATTGTTTTCAATAAGGCAAAGCTAAAGAACCAATCACCCTTTACTTAAGTATCTTTACTGCCAGTGTCTTTCAATAATAAGTTGTTTACAACCATTAAATATCTCCCTCAGGCAGTGTGATTCATCACTGGGAATTTGCCTCAACTCGTGTCCATGTCAGCAGGCCAACTCTTCTTCAATCTCACCACATCTAGATCCACAATACGTCGTGTGCCTTGACACCCATATATTTTAAGTAAGTTATTCAGACGTTACCATTATGTCCAGTGATGTACAACTTCGTCCAAAATGAAAAGGGATCAGCACAGAATGAACTATAGCTAATGTTACCAATTCTCAGAAACAGTGTTACAACCTGCACTTTACGAAGATACACCTAAAGCCCAAAAGGGATTCTGGATGGGAACTCCTGTCCTCATCCGCCTCCGTTGGGGACCACAGCCAAGTGCCACACACACACACACGCACAAAAACACACACCTATAAACACGCTGGGAGTCTTATCAGCCCTTAGTTTTCCAGGATACAGTGGGATACAGCTGTAACCTCAAATGCACCCGAACGTGTGACAAATTCAACATCCACCCTAGATCGGTTTACAATCAGACAACCTTAACTGTTGGGGATTTATTTGAATCATTAACGTTTTTATGAGGCCGGTTTTGATGTTTTACGATGTATAACAAGTGTCCCCTTCCACTCAGCCAGACAGAAAACACTAGAAAGCCGGTCACCTTTATGCATTAATTAACTAATTAATTAAATCGTTTATCAGGAGAATAGAGGGGATACAGTAAAAGACTCACATTTCCTTGCGCTCCTTTTTGTAGCTTTTCCCCGTAACGGCCGGTTACGCGCTGAAATTCTGCCGGTAGATTTTTTTTTTTCCACCGCGTCTTTACCTCCTCATTCAAGCCCGACCCTCTCTCCTCATGTCCAGGGTACTAAATGTTCTGTCCATGTGGTTATTATGTCGCGCTGTTTATGTCCCGTGTTCGCTTTATCCCTTTCCTCTCTAGCGGCGGTGAACGTGTCGGTGAAGCAGCCACATGGATCCTAGACTTCAAAATGACACTGGTGAAGGGAGGCTGAGGCACACAAGCGAGAAAAAGAGAGAGAGAGCAGAACAGAGTAGAGTTGTGGGAGGGCGTTTAGTGTAAAATGAAGGGGCAGGTCTTGGAAAGCAGCCACAAAGTAACACAATGTTCCGGCTGTACTGTAGCTGTACCGCTGCTGACGAGAACACTGTGTTCCAATAGACACCCTGACCTGTAACCCGTTCCGTGCCGATCCAGGCCGAGAACAGGCTGTACCGCAGCAGGCTGTCCTCTCCGCTCAGCTGGCAACACTTATCGTCAACACACTGCCGTGTAGTAGCTGAGCCCTATAGCCACACAGACGGGATGCGAGAGCCCCGAAATACAAGCACACCCCACTGCCCGATAAGACGCGCGGTGAGACAGATTACTGTTTCTGTAAAGAGACGGTATAACCCGCCTTTTCATTTTGCTCTACCGGGGGATTTTCACGCTATGAGTACAATTGCTGTAACGTTTCTTTAACTTATTTCAAGGTAGGGATTTGGACAAATGCGGATAAATGTATGATTGTTATGATTGTTTGCCTACTGCCTGGTAGTAATTTTCCTTTATTGTGACGGGTGGATGATTTGTCAACAACCAGTATTATTGCGGTGTTTACAGTGGTGGAACACGTATTATTCAAGTCCTCTATGTAAAAGTAGCAACACCATGACGAACAAATACCACAAATACGAGTCATCATTTTCTATATTAAATAAGCTAAATAAATGTAGTAGTAAACTATATTAAATAATTAAAAGTAAAAGAAGGCTACCAATAATCCTTGACTTCTGTAGCAACAGTAGTCTATATGTAAGTAGTGATATGTGTTATTATTTCTTTTAATTTTGGGAAGAAGGTACAAAACATGTGTGAAATTAAACTTATAACCTGCATGTGTCATTTGGGGGCGTTTATTGCATCATATTTTTGAGCTCTTATGTTACAACTCAAATATCATTCTGCAAAGAAAAGGGCCCTACCGCTGTTTGAAGTAGGAGGCTGTGTCATAACTGTAACTAGCCCCTCGTTATTAATGCTACTCTTTAGCTCATACCTGGCGACACAAATGAAAGCACGCACATCTCTGAGTATGTGGCGTGTTCATCAGCTCATGTGTTTTCCACTCATTCATCACCGTCTGTTGCGGTGGCAACAAGGCCATCTGACCGCGAGAGGCGTCTATTTCCCCGCAACTTCTTTCAGCCTCTGGGCGTGCGTCGGTGCAAGCAGAGATGGGGGACAGACAGGCCTACATAGCAGTGTCAAACAATCAGACACCATATATCATACTAATAACAGCAATTCATTAGGCAAATAGTAGCCAATAAATAGATTCTAAAA